CGATTCAATGTCAAAGAAAGTCTATCACCAACTGCACTTCTAAAAAGTAAAATTAATCGAACCATTCCAATGATTAAGAACTTATAATAACTTAAACGAAAGTATCATCAAAACTAATAATACTCTGAACACTTGAAAAATTAATAAATAAGGGTACTCAGGATGACAAGTACCTAAATAAGTCAAAGAAACATATACTCCAATTATTGACCAAAAAACCAACTCACGAATTATTCTCTATACACTAGACATTTTTCTTCTAGGAACGCAAAAAAACACTGAGAAACACAAAACCAGCATCAATCCGCCAATCTTAGATCTAATACAACGTAACATAGCGTAAAAAGCCAAAAAATATCATTCAGGCTTTATTCTAACAGGAGTGTTAAGCTGATCAGCTTCAAGGTATGACTCTATATCAACTAATAAATCAGGACTTAATATTAATCAGCTTAACACTCCTGTTTGAATACACACAAATAAAAATAAATCCTTCACCGTAAAACATGAGTGAAAATAAACTACATTAGATAACCTTTTGTAACTATATAAGGGATTACTTCTGCCATCCTTATGAAGATATAACAAATAAACAATCACTAACATTATTATAACAAGCCCCAAACATACATGCACAGACAATAAACGCATTAATGTCATACCAGTAACAGAAAATCCTCTTACAACATACTCATACATAACTTTACCCACAACTGGAAAAATTAATAACTATAGAAGTCAACACAGTAGCTGCTCAATAAGGCATTTGATGCCATGGTAAAATATATCCAGTAAAAGCTTCACCCATTACTAATAAATATAAAATAAATCCAACTTTTCAAACACTAACCTTCCTATTTCTAGAATAATATAAAGAACGACCCATATGAACAAAAATAAGAATAAACAATATCTTAACGCCAATTATATGAAAATATCGTAAACATCAAGTAAAAAAAGAATCTTTAGAAAACCCAGTAACAATTGATAATCTAACAGTCAAATCACCAACATACAAAAATGATAACACAACACCAGTAACAATCTGAACACATAAACATAGAAAGCACAAAACCATAACTTTAATAATAATTAATCCAAAAGCTAATTGGTAAACCCATCAAATTACAACGTAGTAAATTAAACCTAAATTTACTATTACTAAAAGTATACAACAGAACCACAATCTATTAGTTTATTTCATAACCTATTAGTAAAACT